CCAGTGAGCGGGAACTGGTCTGTATGTGGGATCCGAACCCTCGGCGGGAGCGCCGCCGCAGTCCCAAGCAGCGCACTGTAGCAGTGTGCCACTGGGCCGGCCCCAGCTCAAGGTCTTTTGAATAGCCATTGCTGACAAATTTTATGCGAACACAAAAAGCATTTAACTTTGCTACTTAAATAAATTAACAGTGCAGAAAGTAGTAATTCTATAGTGTTCTCTGCAGTTCTGAGGTTCTGCTAAATATTGATGTTGAAAGTTAAGAATATGTTAATATCTAATTATAATAATATTTCAAACCTCAGAGAAGTTAATAGTTTTATGTCCTATAGTTTGGTTTGGAAACTATTAAATTGTCTTAGAATTTCTTATCACTTTAATCACTGTTGCTGAAAATTAGTTTAATTATTTTGTCAGTAAAATAAAATGGGAATTTTCTCCTTAGAGTAGTTTGCAACACCAGGGACAAACTTAGGTAAAAATTATTAAATCTTAATTCATTGTATATTTTCATTCCAGGAAATAACTTTCTCTGTGCCCAAAACTTTTATTAAGTGTGGTAAATTGCCGTCTTAAGATGCTTTAACAGTTTCAGTATATTCTCTTAAGTATGTGAATTTGGGCAAGTCATTGGGTGGGGACATTGCCCTTGGAAAGTCTTTCCCAGCCTGGGGAGTGGGAAGGTGGAAATCCAAAAAAGCTATTCCTAAAAATATTCTCATAGACATAATAATTTTTTCTTTGATTGCATATAGCTGCTAGGTCTGCATTGCAGGTTTACTGGTAATTTTAAAGTGTAAGAAATACACTTTGTATATTAAACTTAGAACAAATAATAGACCACATAATAAGTGCCACAATTTATTTTGTTTGTATTCATGGCTTTAATTGATAATGATCATATGTATGTTTTCTACTCTAAATTTAGAGATAGTTTTCTTAAAATGAAACTATATATGTCAGAATTGAACAGTTTAAAATTCTCAGTCATATGTGAAGAAAATTTTTTGACACACTGATAAGTGTAATTAAATCAAGTAGCCAAGATAGATTATTTTCTCTAAAAATACTAACCATTTTAATCTGTTGATTTGGGGAACTTTTTAAAAATAATTTTAGGATTTGGGCTAAATTTTGTTATACATTTAGTTTATTTTTGGTGGCTTTGCTTTTATTTAACATTTTAATCCTTAATAATCTTGTCTCTATGTGCATTTTGAGTTTAAATAATACTGGAGATTAAACAAGTTTTCTCTCTTTCTTTCTTTTAGGAGCTTCATAAAGGTCAGAGTTCACTTTTGGCAGGATCTAAAGATGACCATCCTTTATTATCCAGTGGGTCTACCCAGTGTCTCCAGGCAGCTAGCACTGGTATTCAGAATCAAAATGGACATCACACTCTGCGTAGTAACTCAGTACCACAGGGGAATGCTCTCAATCACCTCTCCTCTCATACTGCTACCTCAGGTGGACAACAAAGCATTACCTTTACCAAAGAGAGCAAGCCTTCAAGAAATAGATCCTTAGTGCCTGAAACAAGCAGGCATGCTGGAGACACATCTATTGGCTGTGCTGGTGTCAAGGGACTTACCAATTATGTCCATCAGGTGCCAGCAGATGGTGTTTCCAGATCTAACCATGGAGATTCTGTGTCACCAAATGTATTGATTTCAGACAATCCTCAGCTCTCTGCCTTGTTGATTGGAAAAACCAATGACAGCATGGGTACTGGAACCTGTGATAAAGTCAGTAATATTTCCCCAGCTGTGCATGTAAAGACCGATCATTCTGTGGCCTCTTCACCCTCTTCAGCCATTTCCACAGCAACATCTTCTCCAAAATCCACTGAGCAGACAAGCACACACAGTGTTATCAGCCTTAACAGTCCTCATAGTGGGTTTCACATAATTAATGAGAATTCACAGAACTCTATAAAAGTAGACCTGCATCTAGTTAGACACAAATCTAGTCCTCAGATCATACCATCGATGTCTGTGTCCATTTACCCCAGCTCAACAGAAGTTCTGAAGGCATGCAGGTTAGTGTGAGAAAGTTGATTATAATGTGAAAATGGTTGTCTACTGGCTAGGTCAGAAAACTCAAAATATGATTTTGATCTTTTAAGAAATGGAGAGTGTGCAAAAGATGATTATCATCTAAAATAACAGTTTCATAAAGAGATTTGTTATGTTTGCAACTGTGGTTACACCTTGTCAGTGTATCAAATGTGAAAGGCATTTTTCTATAAACTGCTAGTATCTAAAAGCTAATGTCTTCGTATGTCACTGACCTGTATAGCTTATTAGGGTTATCAATTTCTGTGTGGTTGACCTTATTCTGGGGATTGATATGAGAATGGATGGTCAGAGTTATTGAATGTTATAGTGGGAATGGACCTCACTAATTATTAAGGCTACTCCTTGCTTACATTTGAGAAGACATTTTGTCGGACTCTAGAAGAGGTTATAAACTAGGTTGGAGAGATGAAGGAAAGGCAGGGAAAATTGAGAGATGTGACAGACTGCTAGCCAGTTAAGTGATCTTAACAAGAATGGGTTTATTTAATACACTTAATATCCTTCCCATAAAAAGGATCAAAGAATGAGGAACATGTTCTTTGATATTGTGATGGCGTATAGATTTTCCCAATGATCCTAATGAATCTTTTTTTTTTTTCCTTTTTGTCTTTTTTTGTGACTGGTAATGGGATCGCAACCCTCAGTGTCACGCCCGTACCGTGACCGGCAACGGGATCGCAACCCTCGGTGTCGCGCCCCCACCGCGCTCAACCAGTGAGCGGACCGGTCTCTATATGGGATCCAAACCCTCGGCAGGAGCGCCACCACACTCCCAAGTGCCGCACTCTACCGAGTGCGCCACTGGGCCGGGCCCTAATGAATCTTTTTTAAAAAAAGTGTTATTGAGGTGTAATTCATATATGATACAATTTACTTATTTAATGTGTAGAATTCTGTGGTTTTTAGTACATTACCAGATGTTTGCAACAATCACTATAGTCAATTTTACAGTATTTGTATTACCTTAAAGCAAACCTGACATATGGTTTAAACACTATGAAATTTAATCTTAATTAAGAAATTATCTTAATTTCTCACAATCAGAAGTGAAACATTAAAATTTAAATTAAAGTTCAAATGCCAAAGGCAAACAGGAATTACTACAGTAATACTTTTGTATATGCTAGTACAGAAAATTTGAAATTTGAACAATAAATACTGGTTTTATTAGATTTTTAAATGTCTCTCTGGATTTACATCAAAATAAGTACCAGAAATTAATACCCTATGTGGAGACAATCTAAAGATTATTTTTAGTTTACCGTGACCATTTTATTTAATACAGGCATACCTCACAGGTATTATGGGTTGGTTCCAGACCACTTCAATAAAGCAAATACTACAATTGAGCGAGTTGCCAATTTTTGGTTTCCTGGTGCATTTAAAAGTTATGTTTACAGAATACTATAGTTTATTAAGTGTGCAGTAGTATCATGTCTAAAAACAATATACATACATTAGCTTAAAAATACTGTATTGCTAAAAAATGCTAAAGATCATGTGAGCCTTCTGTAAATCATACTCTTTGTTGGTGGAGGATCTTACTGCTATGTTGGTGGCTGCTGAGGGATCAAGGTGCTGGTTGCTGAAGGTTGGGGTGGCTGTGGCAATTTCTTAAAATAAGACAACAGTGAATATATGTTGCTACATGTATTGACTCTTACTTTCACAAAAGATTTCTCATGTGATACTATTGATAGCATTTTATCCACATTAGAATTTCTTTCTGAATTGGAATCAGTCCTCTCAAACTCTGCCACAGCTATATTAACTAAGTTTGTATAATATTTTTTTTTTTCCTTTTTTCGTGTCCGGCAACGGATCGCAACCCTCAGTGTCGCGCCCGTACCGGACCAGGACCGGCAACGGGATCGCAGCCCTCGGTGTTGCGCCCACACCTTGCTCAGCCAGTGAGCGGGAACCGGTCTGTATGTGGGATCCGAACCCTCGGCGGGAGCGCCACCGC